CTATTTCCTTATCTAGCTGGTTGTTCTACCAGCCAGAGTGTCATAAAATGTTACATAACCAGACTGAGACTGGGCCCTTTGAACAGACCAGATCAGGGGAATAACCGTAGTCTAGTAGACAACTCCAGACATGATGGCGTCCCCTGGACCAGTGTTTCACACCTGTTGGTGAGATTGGCTGCAAACTAGATTTGCTCAATTAAGAATATTTGATCTTAGTAGGTGCCGTCCACAATGACTGACAGGCACATTGATAGCTATTTTGATCTACAAGGTACCTCAGGGGCGTGGCTTAGACTATCTCCTGTAGTGTAGGTTAGAAACTTGAAAAGGGGAGGAGTTTAACCTTGCAGAGAGATAAGGGTACATGATTACTGCTAGGCATCTTGACTTTACCTATTAGTGCTGCCAGCAAGCCACAAACTCCGATCAACAGTAGAAAGTAATTCTAGCTGTTTTATTCCTGTTTGGCAATTGCTGAACTTTCCCATGTATGCTTGTATAATTTTTTTTTCAATCTTTATTCATAGGTTATTGATTCAGCTAAGTCTATATTACCTTTTCCTAATTGTTCTACACATTCTGCTTGAAATAGTTCTTTGTGCATATTTAGTTATCTCAGTTAAGGAACTGCTAAACCATTTCTATTTCTCGTATGCTCGTGTCACATGTGTTTCAGTATATGTTTTCATGTTTATAAAATAGGACTTGTATAATGAAATGTAAAGACATTATAATGTTTTAATCATCAACCAAAACATGAGCCTGGACTGTGGGGAAATGATTCCCACATGTACAGCCATGTGGTTACGTTTTTGTGTGTGCCCACCATGTGCTCACTAAATGTGTGCACCTAAACAGGGGATTGATAATCCCCGAGGGAAGAATCATGGGTGTAGAGAATTCACTGTCACTGAAAAAAAATACTCATAACAGTATACACGTATAAAATGTTTTGGGTGTTCAGCATATAACCTGCGCCACATGTTCATGTCAAAACAATGTCAGCCAGTTGGAAGTCTGAGTGATGACGGACAACAGACTTAGGAAGTCAACTATCATGACAGAACATGAGATGGAAGGCAGGATATGTTAGACGTCAGTGTAAGACACAAGACTTTCAGACTAGACTAGAGAGAAAGTGGAATATGAGGAGTGAAGAAATATATTTTATTATTATATAGATATGAATATGCATATGTATTTACATTCTTAACGTAAGTCTAGATACTACACATATGTGTTTGCTTCCATTATTACAGCTCCCATAGGGGTGACGACCAGTCCTTTCTGATAGCAGAAACAGAGCGTTCTCGGGTACGAACCTACACTGCGTTGGAGATCGACCAGCTGGGAACAACCTAGGTGGAGAACCAGGCGGAGAACAGGCGCTGGAACTAAGAGGTGAAAAGTAAAGAAGGGCCTCAACCCGAGGGATATCTGAGGTTCCACTTTATAAAATTTGATAGTTACGTACCATGTATTTATGTTCGTAAACTTATCACCACTATTATAACTTCACTCTAATCTTAGGTGCTCAGTTATCTAGCGGAAGCATCTCATTCCCACCACACCATCACTGTTTACTAAAACTATGAATAACAAAATGATTGCTAGGTCAATAAATCAAATATATGGTCTTATCCTGCATCAGCTTTTGTAATTCCAAGTGTGTCTGTTCTTACATGTTTAATAAAACTGTTAAAATAAAATATCATTTGGTGGGAGCTCATTAATAATAATAATTCTTTATCAGGACGAGGTAGCTGGGAGGGGTCATCTGCCCTGTCTAATAATTCATTAAATATAATAATATTGACATCTAAAACCCCTTTCTTTCTACTGTGGGTACCAAGTGCAGCTACTGTTAAAGTACTTAATGAACCAGTATGGCTGTTTTCTTGGATATCCAGGACTTTGTCTGAGAGCAACATAGTCCAGATATTAGTTCAGTTAATTTGGTGGAGGGGATGTGTTGAGAGGAAAATTCCTTCTCATCCTAAACGTATCTAACCACTCTCTGTTTCGTGATACAGAGTTTAAAGGAACTATCAACACTCAAATGTACAGGCGTAAACAAGAAAGATAATCTACGTAATCATTGTCAGTTTCTGAATGGTCAGACGTGGCGAGGAAAGACAATAGGAAGTTTTACAAACATGTTATCAATAACAAGAGTGAGAAACACTTTCAGTCAATTCAGTGATGTGGGCAAGTTATAAAATAGTAGCAATTTTTCTTTTAAACAGTTAAAATTGTATATATATATATATATACATACATATATATATATATATATATATATATATATATATATATATATATATATATATATATGCAGACATATTAAAACGCTGAAGACAAAACTCATATTATACAAGGGCAACATTTCAGAAATACTATTATACAACAATAAGTGTAGAAAAATAACGGCTTTAATTACGCATTAACTAGAGATTTTTCAAAATAAATGTTTAAGAAAAATCTTCCAAATATTTTAGCCAGACAAGATAACACTTAAAGAAACGACGAATAAAACAAAAATGATCACTACTGACACACGTTGTCCAAGGAATAAGGGGGAGATCACTTGGATATGTTTGCGGTATGCCGTGTGACACTTTGGCAAGAACAGATCTCTGATTAACGGCGTAAGGAGAAAACGAGACTTGCAACCCAGTGGAAGGACAGTGGGCAAGGAAATAAAGGCCTGTAAAATGACCCTGGATACCGTAATCAGAAAAGCGGTGGATCGGTAGTAGTGGAGATTGTATGGAAATGCCCTGTCAATAGTGATATGAAGAAGATGTGGATATTAAAACGTACAAACAGCGATCTTAAGATATCGTGATTATTAAATATGTCTCTAGGCAAAACATTATATTCAAAACATCGTCATTAAGTAAGTAAAAAGTAACGGACCCTTTCCAAGCTTTAGAGGCTTTTTGGGCATATAGGGCTAGACCTATATTTTTTTAGACTAATGGGCACTTAGTTAGTGATGTGATAGCCTCACGCCAGCCGCCTTTACTTACCAGGATTCTACCTAGTATCTTTTCAAGGCTGGGTCGACCTGGGAGCCAAGGTCATTCTTGAAAAAAAAAAAGTCCAGCTCCACCAGGAACAAAACCAACGACCACAACCTTCCTGTCCGCAGGCGAGCGTCTAGCCACAGCGGCTTCAAACATCATCATTAGGTGAATAGAATGAGCACATTGCAAAGTCATGCAACAGGGAATTTAACAAAACATTATTCAAAATTAATTATGCTAAGAAAAGCATATAATACAATTAAAATCGGTGGATGGCATCAGAATATTCTAATAAGCTTAAAGTACCAGTTGCATAAAATAATTTCAAACGAACATTTTTTATGTCATACGCAATCATAAAACAGGTCAGATTATCAGCAGTCATACTGAACTGGAAAAGAATTCCAGCAAATATAACCAGTAACCCAAGTTTCACTTTAGAGGACAATCCTTGTGGTCCGGGTTCACGCCCGGTGGTAGGCATAAAAACCACATATCTCCCAGATTTACATTATCTATCATGGAATCAAGGCCGAAGGGTTGCGATATCCATAGTACCGAGTCAAAAGGTTTACAATTCATGGTTTCTGGATATTAAAAAATCAAAATAAAAAACACCATTATATACGGTGACCAAACAACGACTCGCTAAAACATTATGTACACATGCCTACATGTCTCGGTTATAAACATTCTTTACGCATGCCTACATGTCACAGTTGTAAACTTTATGAACACATACCTACATGGCTCGGATATAAACAAAACTAGAACTGTCAGGGGTTATCGTTTATAGAAAATCTTTAACATGTCATCCATTTTGTATCATTGGACAAAAACAAATTTTACAACTTCATAGCTGAAACAAACTGTTGAACTTGCTAATGGAATATACCTTCAAAATAAAACAAAGGAGTGGGCAAACAGCGGTTCTGTGGCTTATGGTTGGATGGTGCGTTTAACAAGTTCATAGCCCTGGAGAACTTGGGTTTTTTCGTTTGGTGGGCGGCTTTTTTTTTCAATCAACACATTATATATCGTTCTTTTCATGGCGGCTTGGAAAAAACGATGCAGTTTGTTAAAATCGAGGCAGGGTTCGAACACCGAAAGGATAGATACCGGACACTGAATATGTATTGGCATTGAAAGCACAAGGGGCTGAAGAGCTGACTAGAAAAGGGGATACTTTCAGTGGTGCTGTAAAGAGAGCGACGTTCTGCAAAGGACTTGCTGATTGATGATGATGATGATAACGTTCTCTTAGTTTAGTTGTTGGACCTAGTACGAGAGACCTACGGGGGATGATAGTGGGGCATCAACACGTAATAGTCCTATTCTCAAAGCCAACAGTGGTAAACTGCAGCCAACTTTCATTGTGAAAATGGCCCCATAAAAGTAAACAGAGATATTTTCAGACGCCCTTAATAAAAATCTCACTGCAAAAAAATACTATTTATGGTACTAATTAATGTCATTATTCCCCATGAACACTCGGCTAAGAAAAACTAAAAAGTATATTTCAAAGTCATTCGCAATATTTTGAAATGTAAGGCTTCTAGACGGATCTCAACAACAACAACAACAACAACAACAACAAAAATATGATTTCATATATATTTCACTAAGTAAAGAAAACCTGTGTGAAAGCTTCAATTGAATTTTTTTTTTAAGTCACTTTGATGCCTTGAAGAAAAAAAAAATCACTCTTACCATTACCTTTCACAGATCGGTAGTCATCAGTGCTTTATGGCAAACAAGCCATACCTGAAATATCATGCATTTCACACATTTTGAAATAAAAGACATGAGAGCGATCATCTGTCTTCAACTACTTCTATCAAAACTTAACTCATTAAAAAGCGAAAACTTTTAGAACGGCATCAATTTTTTTTTAAAGGGTGGGTTGGGGGGAAGGAGCGATTACCTGCAGAATATTGCTTATTATTAACTTACAGAAAAGCTGTCAAATTAACTAAATGTATATCGCTTAAAAGCTGTAAAATGATCAAAACGACTCCTTTTTTTTGTTGAAGTCAATAACCTGGAGAATCTGGAATTATTTTCAAAGCAGTTGTTATCTTCATAGCAGTCATAATTAGATTCGGAATAAGCGTACAGGGATGAATTGTTGATCGCTGCGTTTGTGGTGTTCACGTGTATGTTGGTTTCTTGAAGGACAATGCTGGAAAAAAAATTGTGGATTATTTGTTAGATTCTTGTAAGAAAATTCTTTATTGTTGTAAGTTTAGGTTCAGGGCTCCAGTAAAAAGGAGCACGAATAGACGCACTGGCCCCTAACAAACATGCAGTGAAAGATAACTAACTGGGCGTGTTTCCTTTGATGTCTGAGTTAATCTGTCGGAGAGGCAAGGAACCGACATCCTGCATACAAATAAGCTAGATCTGTCAAATGGATGTGCAATCAAAACCCAAATTCTAAAACAAGATCTAAGTCAAGAAGTGGACGAACAACCAGAACGTCCCTCCGTTATTTACAACCTATTAAAGGTAAGAATGGAAGGAGGGTTGAAATCTACGGTATAGAAAAAATGACGGGATGAAAATTATGTTGCTAATAGATTTATTGCAATATTATTTCTAATATATGTTTCAAACTATGATATTTGCCTCGATCAGAAGAGTATACCAATTCTGAGCTCGTCCATTACCGAAATGTTGACAAGATGTGCTGTGACTTACAGCTAGACGGCGATAACGGTGGCAATATATCTGATTAAAGTCCTAATAAGTAGTCTTTTACTACACTCATGCTAGATGGCAGTGGGTCTATTCTCTTTCTCTTAGAATAAGACTCCGTAGCCAGTACAGGGAGGTTACACAATTCGATATAGCCGGTACAAATTCCCTAATTACTAGTCATAAAGTGGAGCCAGGCATCTGGGTTTGTCCTCCTGGGCTGTTAAACTTCACGGTAGCAGCCCGATAAGACTGTGTTTCTGATCACTCGTATCTAGCTGATACACCATTCAAGCGCTACACTGCTTTTAATGTTGATATTTTCCCACAGGGATTCTCTAAATAATTATATAGGAATAAACATGAGATGAGAGAGAAATACATGAGAATATGAATACTCGTAGAAACACGAGATTTTCAAACAGGGCTCAGACCAGCACGTGAAACCCAGAACAAGGGTTATGAAATTAGACCAAGGTATAATCAGTTGGTATGTGTTTGGAAGCTGGCTTTGGACGCAGCGCAACAACGTAGGGGACGGGCCTCGGTGAGCTGGTCCGGGTATCTAGTGGAAAAGAGTTTCTCATCCCTTTGAAAGTCCATCGTGTCCGAATTGTCTGCCAGTGTTCCTCTGCCAACTGCTAATAAAAGTCCAACATGTGTCCGGTAAACCAAAGTAAGCTTGTCGCTCGGTCGTCCAGGCACGCTGACTGCTCTAATTAAGCTGCCGCGGCGGCTTCTTATCTCACAGTACCTCCTTCGAAACCACCAAGTCGTCTTGTCTCTGGCCGAAAGTAAAACACCATCCGGTAATTCCGTGCAGCGGGGAACCAGCCCTGAGCGTCATGAACTCAGGAGGGCCCACCTCCGAATACGTCTAGGAATCGTGGGCCGAAACTTGTGTCGACGAGGATAATTTCTACTGATGACTGGTAGATCCCCGCTGTACTTGCTCCCTGTGAGTTTATTCCTATTGGAAGCTGGCGTGACAGGTCGTATCTGATAGACGAGTGAATGTGACATTGTTTAATTGAAGACGTGATGATATTCTATTCCATGAAAGCACAGCCAGACAACAACCTGATGACAGCCTAACCAGAAGTGGTACCTGGCGAGTTACAACCGGCCAGGTAACAATGATGATCACAGATGCTGGATCAACCAGTGCGTGTATTGCGGGTGTAATGAAACAGGCTGAAAGATAACAAGTGTGGATGGTAGTAGACGTCGATTCTGTACTTGCTAAATGTCATCTCTCTTGTTGGACCTGCTAGTAAATGGTAGACACTGAGTGCACCAGATTACCTGTGAAAGTTCAATAAAAAAAAAAAAAATAACTGGATATCATCTACTCGTTACCACCTTTGTGCATGCAGAATGTCATCTATGTCTTATATATGAAAAACCCCTAGCAACCAGTCAACACACCGAGGAGACAATATCCCACTGCTTTTGTGTGAATGAGACGCCGCAAGGATAATATAGCACCGACAGTATAGTTTTTGTCAGTAATTTAAAAAAAATATATAAATCCAGTGAATGTTAGTGCATCTCTTCGCCTCACAGAAATAATGCTCAGCATATCAGATTCTCCTACCTCTAGGTAGCAGCAGATGTTAGATATTTTAAAAAAAACTTAGATATTCGGACAGAATACACAAAATGCTATTTACATTTATTGCTCTCCGTGCCTAATTAGGTAGGAAATTATTTTGAAAATCCAAGCTTCGAAATACAAGTTTTAGATTTCTGCTGCCTGCTATTTAGAAAAAGACCGTTTTTTCTCTTCTAGATTAGAGTCAAACTACGAAGAGAGAGATAGGGGGGGGGGGGTGGGGGTTTTCATCACACAATATGTCTAGTAACCATAGTGGTTACAGTGTAAATAATAATAATTTTTTTTTCTGCTTTAACCGCCAGTCTGTCTGCGAAAAAATGTCCCATTTTCTCAGTTGAGTAGTGAAAAATGATTGAAGAACAATGATCTAAGGAGCAACAAACTTGACAATGATATAGTTAAAGAAGCATTCACTTACAGATTTTCATTTTTCTTCAAGTCCCTAATCAGGGCAGCAATGGCATGATTGTTTTTTGATTCTTCATGACAACTGGAAGCGTTAGTTGAATCATTGCTGAGGATAATCAGAAACGATACATAAAACCGTTTAAACTGTATAGTAATAAATTAAATGCATTCTTTTCATAGTAATAGTCTCCCTCTTTTTTTCCCCCCTTTAAGATGGTGCCCCCTTGAGTATATGGCAAGACATCTCCTACCGCACCCCCCCCCCCCTTTTCCATCCCATACACATAATGAAATGTGATTAAGAAGAGAAGGAATGTTTTCTTAATCCATAATTAAATCCACATATTGCCTCAATAATCAGATTTTTACCAGTAAAAAACTGTTTATGGAAACAAAAACGTTTTTGACTTTTTGAATTATAAATAATTAAAAACATTTTTTGTAATGATAATGTAACTAGGGTGGGAAATTGGAAAAAAAAAGGGGCGGGGGGGGGAGGGGTGTGTGGTATTTTGTAACGGATTAATACAGAGTACGGAAGTCGCCGTGGCTGGACGCTCGCCGCGGATTGGAAGGTCGTGGGTTCGCTCCCTGGCGGAGCCGGACTATTTTCAAAAATGACCTAAGCTCCCAGGTCGACCCAGCCTTGAGTGGGTACCGGTGCAGTCCCGTGAAGTAAAGGCGGCCGGCGTGATACTGACCACATCACCCATCTTGCGCTGATTGTTCTATAAAAATATAGGTCTAGCCCTATATGCCCTATACGCCTGAAGACGTGGAAAAGGGTCCTTTACTTTACTTTACACAGAGTACTGATGCACTTATTTTCAAAATTGATTGACGCCCCCCCCCCCCCTTTTTTCCTTTATGAACTCCCTCCCGTCCCACAAGTTGGAGACCACTGATTTAGGGAGAATCCATCAGAGCTTCGATGTTTGAAAAAAATTACACAGAGAGAGAGAGAGAGAGAGAGAGAGAGAGAGAGAGAGAGAGAGAGAGAGAGAGAGAGAGAGAGAGAGAGAGTAGAGTTCTAACTAGAACGTAATGATATGACAAAATAATGTCAACTAAGCATTTGAAGTGGCACCTGATTTGTTACAAGACGATAAAAAAATTACTCTGGATTGGGGTAGTATAATTGCTGGTGCACTTACTTTCCAAGAAGTTGGGTTTTCTTTGTCTTAAAACTCTCGTAAACTCAGAAGTAAAGTTTTGGTTGTTCGTCCATTTCTGGACCTTAATCATAAACCAGAAATTAAGTGTTGCATACACAAACATTTTACACATCTAGCTTATTTTTTTTTTTTTGGTGCAGACTGTTGGTCCTTCCTTGTTATTCTTATGCACTCTGACTTTAAAAGAAGTATCTCTAATCAATCACCTAGAACGACATTGGGCAGTAGGTCTATTTTTTCCCCCAAAATGAAGTCCCAGAATCCAAACATGGGGGATTTTAGGTTCAAGTCCCAGCTGAGATGTGGTTACTTTTTTCAATCTGTATTTTCAAACTTTTTTTTCAAAACGATTGTAACAATTTGTATTTGTGCTTCATGATGTTACTACTGAGGATGATTACCTTTGTATTTCTAGTTTAAGAAGTAATGGAAATTTACCTGATGTGCTCATATATAAACACGCATGACGTTATTCTTTACAGAGAAAAAAGATACATTTGTGTGGCAAATTTCACAGATAAATAAGAATTATCATCCCACCTTGGGTGTCTTGATTTCTTCTTCATGAAATGATAGATTCCATCATTATCAGCTGTCGGCGCTCTCTCCTGTGGTGTTACCTCCGATAAACGTTTTTTTGCTCTTTCTGGTGCAGTCGACGCTTCTTTAAAAAAAAAAAATCACACACACACACACACATTATAATGTTTTCATGTATAAAGTACTATTTACTGTACAATATTTTGCTTCCGTCATCGCAGAAACAAGTTATTGCTAATTTAATAGTCATTACGAAAGTGTATCAGCATTATTACGTAAATATAAACATCACGCCATTCAGAGGCATCAACACACACACAAAACATTCAGATGGGTAGGGGGAGGAGTAAGCTCCCTTTAACGTTTTACAGGGTGGGGTCCTTAGTTAGTCTAGGCCTTGTTTAAGTACTAATGGGTTCTCTCCCCATTGCTTTTTCTGATCTATAGGAATAATTTCAAGCAAGTAATGACTCTGAACGTCAAAGTCTCTCTCTCTCTCTCTCTCTCTCTCTCTCTCTCTCTCTCTCTCTCTCTCTCTCTCTCTCTCTCTCTCTGCGTTGATGCCCTCCTTTGTTCAGATCAAACTCTTTAAATTGCTCAGACAAGATTGCGGTCAACCTTTGATGGCCTGGAACAAGGGTTCCCAAACTGCTTTATAAAAATCAACCCTTCTCTACAATGTACTAGGGCATCTCACTCATGCCAAGCGCGTCCCGCATGCGACCGTTTACAAGCACATATTCGGCCCACACAAAGGTACATAAGCTGGCTAAAATTTCATTTTAGGATTTTAAGCGATGATTTTATTGCTAAATATTTTTTTATTTTTTTTTTATTTTCCGAAATTTCACATCATCTATAAAATTGCCAGTGCGTCTCCAGATTGGGCTGCCGGCGTCGACCAGTGCCTTCTGATTGGGGATCACTGGATGCCGCCACTGAGAGCGTTCATGGAAGATACGACTATCATCAGGGGCGGCGAAGATAATGCCCGTGTTATTATAGAGAGTTTGGATCGCGTTGTCAAATGATGCGGCAAGCAGTGTTGCCACTTTGGAGCTTTTATATCCAAATTTAGATCTTTTTCATTGCATTTAGATACTGTTTTTGACGTTTAGATCGGAAATATTTTTCTAGATTCTTTTCATATGGAGTTAGATATTTTATAGATTTTTTTTCCTTTCATTGTCAATTTAATAATTACTGTGTAAAATATTTACTACAATATTTTTGTTTTGGTCTGGCACGTACATTGTGACAACTGCCATTACTTGAACTTTGAACTCTTACTGGGGTCAACGCACAAATATCTGGCAGCCCCGGTACTGATTAATAAAAACGCGCGTAAAATTTGTGAGTGTATGAATGACAGTGCAATCAAAGAAACCATAAACAGTGTTGCTGTATGTCTGTTCATTAATTAGAACAAATGGATTGAAGGGTGTAAGCAGCAAGAACGACATCAACGCACACCATCCACCAAAACATGATACGTCAGTACCGGACAGGTCACATACCAGTAACGGGACATAACTTAAAAGTGACACGACCAGACGAAATTACAGACAAAGCGATACAAAACGCATAAGACATGGAAGAGTAGATATCACTACGTGGATGTACTCGTTTTTTTATGAATGTAAGTACAGGCATTGGTAAACGCATATGAAAGAGTTTGCGTGTGTACGTAATGTCAATTAGGTATGCATACACGGATAAGTATGAAAGGATGTACAAATGTGTAGTGTTGTCTGCATGAATGAGTACTCGAGTGCATGTACGCATACACCTAGTTGGGTGCGTCCATATACTCCAGGGATTCATTAACAAAACCATCCCACTCCACAGCATGCATACAACATGCACATGACCGACAGGACTCATAACAAAAATATGACTGACAGCAAATAGGGAATACAAGTGACTCGATAATGACAGGACTAGAACGCATAACCTCCAATACCACCCCATCACTGGGATGATAGCAAAGGTTGGTAACGTGATACACATAGTCCCGGCAAAAAGCCACGCTAGAATCCAGCAAGACGGCAACGACGAGAATTGACTGAATGGCCTCCCGCTCCCCTTCCCCCCCACCTTTCCCTAACTCTTTCGGATGCACTATGAGTTTAACCCCCCAACCCATTCCCACAGAGAGCACTTGAGTTCGTTGCCCAACATGCCACAACAATTCTCATCGCCGATCATTTGGATCTCAAAGCGTGAGCTGGACGGTCCGGTTATATGGTATTTACGTACACCGGAGCTTAGCTATCAACACAACCCGATCACATAATAACAAATGACGACTGGACCCGCTTAAGACTCCACACAAACTCTCACACACATATCCATTACATGACTAACCCGTTCATATTACAGGAAGACAACTATAAGACCACTATGGTCACACGCGGAAAATTTTCACATTTCGGAACTATTCACATTCAAAAACTGTTTTCAGTACTTTTTGGCAAAATTAAAATACTCAAAATTTTAAAAACAATAAATGGTGGCCGAAAGGTCGTTGTGTTTGGAAGCTCGCTCTCCTTCGAGATACGCCTAGCCAGATCAAAGGGAGACAGAACAAACAGGAAACACCAAGAATGAAGAAGGAAGACATGCACCAGTGACAACAGGACGAGCGGTTTGATTCGGATGGAAGCATTAAGCCAGAAATGGCACAAACACCAGTATTCAGTCACGAAAGTGACGCAAATAACCCAGACCACAAATATAGGCGGAGACTGTTAGCAGCCTAGGCTAGCTAGCAGCAGTCTGAACGTGGTCGAGCTTTTCTTTTTTTTTTCTTAAAAGGACTTGGACTTGGACATACTAACTTTGTTTCAACCGTATCCTCACTGTGCAGACTTTGCATTTCTTTTTCATGTGATTTAAAAAAAATAATTGCTCACCTTTTTATGTGGCTTTCACTTTGAAAAAACCTTTCAACATGCCAAAAGTAAAGTATGAGCAAAAAATTTGGAAAGAGTGGTTGCATGATGACAAAATTAAAAACTGGGGATATGACCAAAGCTTGTTGTAAGTACTGCAAGTGTGAAATTAAAGCGAAAATACAAACTCAAAGAGTCATGCAGAGACTAAAAAAGCATAAAACTGCAGTTTCATTTAAAGATATTACACCGCTGACATCTGTTTTCAGAACTATACTGATAAATAAATCATCAAAAGTTGAAGTATCAGTCGCAATGTTTTTAATTTGTCACTGTGCAATTTCAAACAGTGATCATTTTGTCGATTTGTAAAAAATCTTAGACTAGTTCAATTTGAAAAGTGTGATGTAGAAAGTATAGTTTAGGAACTGAAGGACCTTTTAATCAGCAAACAGTAAGGCTTGAAGAATTTGGCTGTAATTGGTACTGATAATGCCTCAGTGATGGTTGGTATAAACAATGGCGTTTATGCCAAGTTGAAGGAAGCTAACCCATTATTAATACTTAAAAAATGTGTGCGTCATTCATTGCAGCTAGCATTATCACATGCTTCATATAAATATTTACCAAGGAATTTGGAATACCTTATTGCTGAAACACTTTACTGGTTTTCCAAATCATTTGTCAGACAACAGCAATACAATACATTATATACAGCCTTGAATGATGGTTCCACACCACCGAAAATTCTGTCAAATTGCAAAACTAGATGGTTATCAATTTAACCAGCTGTTGAAAGAATTATGAAGCAATGGCTGAAGTTGAAGACACACTTTGAAATAACAAGACAAAGTGAAAAGTGCTACACAGCTGAAATACTATATGGAATGTACAGTGATGAAAAAAATTTGTCATTCATTCTCTTTTTATAACCTATTCTAATGGAAGTGCAAAAAGTTAATAAACTGTTCGAATTTACACTTGTTGATAAAGTTAAATTACTTGATGATCTCACCTTGCTCTTTCACTCGGTAAAAGACTGGTTCTAAAGCTGATTTGCTCACTTGCACTATAGAGAGCTATTTGGCTCCTAAGCCACACCTTGGATATTAAATCGAATCAAAAATTGATGATTTAAAAACAAAAGGACTGTTAACAGAGAATGAAGAGAACAACTTAAGAAAACGCTGTCAAGATTTCCTTATCTCATTATTGAAGCAATTGAAGCAGAGACTTCCTGAAAATTTAGATGTTTTGAAAAATATTTTACTTTTTTCTGTGAGCAACATACTTCAGCCAATAAAGGACATACCTAAATATTGTAAAGTTATGACATTTTTAGGGGCTACTGATAATAGTGTCGCGGAAGCAGAATATCAGTTAACCAAAAAAAGTTAGCTGAATGGACAAACAAAAAAGAAACTAAAGCGTTTTGGAGTGAAGTGAGACAATTTAAAGATGCCTCATCAAACAGTCCATTCTGTAAGCTCTTTAAAGTGCCATGTCTGCCATGATACTACCCCACTCAAATGCTGACGTAGAAAGAGTTTTCAGTGCTAGGAATTATATCAAATCTAACCTAAAAAACAGGATGAAATTTGACCTCTTAAATGCTATCGTGCCATTAAAATTCGGCCTGATGAGACTAGAGAAATAAGCCTACTGTTCCACATAAAGAAATTTGAACAGCTAAAGCATACCGGGGTCATTTTGGATCTGAAGCTTCAACTTCATTATCCAAGCTAAGTTTATCCTGTGGATCTTGTGAGGCAGACATCAGTGAAGGTGGGGACATGCTTATGTAGGGTAAGTCATAACAAAAGCTATGTAACTTTTGACTTTATCAGTTTGGATGTTTTTTCTAGATCTTTTCCACGCAGATTTAGATCTTTTTTGATTATTTTTAAACACCGTTTTGGATATTTTTTGTCAAAGAAAAGTGGCAACACTGGCGGCAAGCAGTTCAAGCCTCAGAAATCCAGGAGTCTGTCAGTCCTGAAGGGCAAGGTGGCAGAAATCGGTTTCACGGTGGCAAGGAAAAAGATCCCTACGGTTCTAGAGGAACCAGTGAAAAGCCTTGCTCGCCTCTACGATTCAAAGTTATCCGATAGAGCGAAAGTCTGACACATACATGAGTCAGTGGCAACAGGTCTGCGTGCAATCAAGCAATGCAGGCTGATCGGAAAGTTCAAGGTGTGGTGCCTCCAGTTTATGTTGTTGATCCCTAAGC